AGCATACCTGCAGGCATTCTCCGCGTCTGATCCGCTAATCTCAACACACGCTTCGAGGGTTCGTATTGACTGAACCCCAAGGCTCTCGCTGTATCCTCCGTCATTATGTTGACTCCTGATCCAGAGTCGATTGGCACTCTGCGTACACAACATCCTGCTATCTCCACATCGATCTCGGGTGGCCCTTGGTCTTCGCTCTCCACTTGATATACTTGAGAGGATGTGGATGCGCGCGGCTTCCGCGGATGCCGTAGCGAAAGCATCAACATTCTCCGATACGTCTTATTGTCCTCCAAGAACTGCTTGAACGTAATGTTCACTTTTCGACTCCCGAGATCTTCAACCAAGTCATAGTGGGCGCGTTGGGGCGCCGGGGTCGGCGACGCTCTGCGAGGTTCCACGGTGGCTGCCAACTTCGCCCCAAGGGAGGATGTCAGGTCTGGCCGCGGTGGGTCCTTTTGAGTGCGGATCGCTTCCTGCAACAGGTTGGCTACCTCGTTGCGGATATCCGGAGCATAGTCCCGTTTCAGTAGGCGCACTGGCTCGTCCTCGACTGCTGCCTGGGGGCGCACTGCTGGTGCCTCCCGCGTAGTCGAAGACTTCCGAGCAGGTCGCGAGTCGGACTTGCTGGATGTCTTCTCCTTTCCTTTTCCCGTCCGGTCGGCGGTTCTCCGTTCGTGCTTGCGAGTGTCGCGCTCTTGCTCCTTCGATTTCTTGGAACTACGAGTTTCGACCCGTGCGCACATAACCTCTTCCGCCGGCCATTCTTCGTCTTCGCCACCCCCGTCTGAACCTACTTCGACCTGGTTAACTTGCACGTCCTCCTTGGCAGGAGTGTTCACAAATCGTACCACTGGCCGAGGGACTGGTGGCTGATCACACTCTGGCGCAGTGTGCCCGACCTTCTTGCAATTACTACATGTCGGAGCATAATCGTTTCGCCTTTTTGGATGGGGACACTGCGGTGAGAAGTGCCCAACTTCCCCGCAATTATAACAAGCTCGCGGTGGCGGTGGGTCAAACGTCCCTGGAGGTGCTCTCCGCCTCACAGGTACCGTAGTGGCCCGATCCACCGGAATATATCGTGGGACTTGCATTGCTGAAACTGCAGGAGGGGTAGGCACCGACTAGACGGCGTAGGCTGTCTCTTCGCTAGCCTCTCCATAGTACTGTGGGTGCTCTCCATAGTACGGTTGCGCCCACTCTACTGCGTTGACTGGATATGACGGCCGGGTGGTAAGGCACTCGGTGTTTGCATGTCCCACCGCCCCGCACGTAGTACACCATAAGTTCGCTCGCACTCTCCCGGGTGATTTTCTGCGATCATGCCCGCCTACCACTTGAACTTTGAGATCGGCGAAGTCCTTCACAAGGGTCTCCATCTTCGAAGCTATATCTCCCGGCGCTCTGTCCGTAGTCACTCGTCGGATGCCCTTTTTCTTCGCTGACCCATGCTTCTTCCTCTTCTTCTCCTCCTCCGACGATGAGGTTTCCTCTTCTTCGGATGAAGAACGGTTCTCGTCCGAAGACGATTCCTCCGATGACGGAGTTGTACCTCTACGCCGTCTTCGCCCTCCCTTCGGTTTGCGCTCCTTCGACTCCCGTCTCTCTCTCCCTCTTCGGTTGAGAGTGGAAGTTTCGAAGGCTTCTGCCGATGCAATCACATCCTCAATAGTGTCGCACTTGCTGCGTCGGCAAAAAGTCTCCATCTCCCGAGTTAAACCGGTCACGTACCAATCCACAGCTTGTTGTACCGAGAAAGGGGACCCTGGTCCTGTTTTCGGTATTCTGTCGAGGAGGTCCAGAAATCTCTCCGTGTAGTCACGCAGACTCTCCTTCTTCTCTCGCTGCAAGTTACGTAACTTCGTCAAAACCCGGCTGTCGTAGCCGAGCTCGCGAAAGCGACGAAGGAACTTCTCCTTCAGCTGGGCCCATGTTGTCAACCCAGTCGGATCGATGCTCTCGTGATTATACCAACTCCTCGCTTTCTTCCGCAGAAGGCTTGGAAAGATCCTTAGTCGGTCGTCGTCTGCGATCTCGCGATTGGCAATAGACACCGACTCGAATAACTTGATGTATGAATCTGCATCGTCGTCATCCCCACTTCCTTTGTACTTCGGGTAGGAATGTTTAGTAATCGGCTGAGGTAGCCGCACATTGGCTTGTCCGTCCGCCATCAGTGTGTCTGTCGACGGTCCTCGGGCGGTCGGTTCTACTTCACTAGGCGGGTCCGTGCAAGGAATATCTAGTAGAACTGTAAGCACCAAGTTTGGTTCCGAGTCGCCGGGGGTAGGTTCCCCAAGGATGTCGGCCGAACTAGGCTTAGGTACTCTTTTTGGTGTTTTCTTGTTTTGACGCCGTGTCTCTTCCACGGCCTTCTCTGAATCTCGTCGGAACTTGCGGACAGCTCTAGCACTTAGGTTGCTCCCGCCAGCCCCAGTCGACATTCACCGAGCATGGCTGCTCGTAAAAACCCCGGTGTTGACGCAACTGTCCCCGGCAGCGGCGCCAAAAAGAAGTTGTCGGCTTCTTATGTAATAACCCACTAAAGGCTAAAACTGCAATATAGTGGTAGAAAGGTCGAACCCACAGGGACAGAGGAACACACAGGGTACAAAGTGTCACGTTTTAACAGACTATTGAGGAGTTTGAATTCTCAGGCGACTGTCACTCCCAGAAATACTGCAAGTGTCCACTCGGAGCGCACTCGGAGGTCGCACAGTGCAGCGTAACACACACACACACACACCTGAAACTATAGAAACACAACCCAGAGATCCGTTAGGACCTCTACTTCAAGATTTCAGGGGGAAAGTCTCTCACGAGCACACTCGGCAAAGCTGCGGGCAGTGACTTCCAACTCCGGCTTTTACAACGCTTCCACTAGCTTGCTGCTAGTGTAGGAAACCCGGTTTGGACTACCTACTTCGGATCGAAGTCACTCAGACGCGGTGAACAACACTCTCAACTCACAAAACGCGCAGAGAACACAGGTCCACACTGAAGGACTCACTGTGAAACATTCCAGTAACACAACAACAGTCTATTGAAGAGTTTGAATTCTCAGGCACTTGTCATTCCCAGAAATACTACAGGGGTTACCCTCAAAGCACCTGCTGCAGCGTAACCTGAATTTACAACCAAGGCTTACACGAAGTAGCAAAACTTCACTTTGGCATTCAGGGGAAAAATCCCAAAGGAGTACAATCAGAAAGAAACACTCGAAGGTGTAGGGGCGAAACTGTTCAAGTATCTAACTAGTCACTGGCTCTGAGCATCGGCAGTCACCCGCAGGTGCAGTTCCGAACTACTCAAGTCTCTAACCAATGTACTAGCTCTGAACATTCGGCCGAAGGCCTTCAGCTACAAAATGCGGAACGCTAAGTTGTAACTCCTCGTGCGTGGTGACAGAACTCAAGGACACAAACACGCAAAGGAAATGGGTTCCTGATCTGCACTTCTGATGGGAAAGAACCCCAGGCAAAACGCCTGGAACTATTTTATACCTTCTAAGTCCTAACTAGCACTACACTGCACTACGCTACACGCCTGCACGGAACCACGCTACACTACACTCCGCGGAACCTGTACTACGTCTCCTGCGCGGCCGACTGCCGCGCACTAACTCCCTACCCTGCCACTCTTCCGCTCGACTACGCAGTCCCAACCGCTGCAACGCCGCGGACACCTCCCCCTCGAGGGCGGACATGGTATCCTGTGCCTTCGACAGAAAGGCCTCGAGCTTCTTCGCTACCTTCCGCCGACTCCTACTGTCGCCTGACAACAACCCGGCTGCGCGCAATTCAAACTCACGCAGTGTGAGTTTCTCCTGCGCCTTCACTTCCCAGTGGGCGTAGCCCTTGAGACAGTGGGCGACTCGCCTCGCCGTCTCCACCTTCGTGCGATCCGCCTCCTTCTTGCGATCCTCTTCAATGGTCACTAATTGCGATTCGGCTTCAGCACGTTGCGCCCTCAATTCGCCACACTCTGACTGCAGACTGCGGATTAATTCTTCATCCGCCTGCCGTGCGAGCTGACATTGTTCCAACAACCGCGTTTGTCGCACGAGCTCCTCTGACAAAATCCGATTCTCGGCCTGCTCAGAGTTGAGTGCTTCCTTGACCTTCACCTGCTCCTTGGTGAGCTCGCCCAGTTTCTCATCCTTCATCTTCTCGGAGTGCTTGTAGAATTTCTGATTAAGCTTGTACTGTCCCCACAAGCACTCATGCTTCTCCTTCAAGTCCCTCAACTCCTGGTCCACTCTAGCTAATAGCTTGCTGGTGTGGACTTTAGTGCGAGTCCGCCTGCGCACTAACTCGATGTAAGATCCCGGCTGGAGTGGGTCGGCGTATTTATCGACCTTGCGATCCAAGTACCGCAGCAACGGAATCACCTGCTCAGAGAGCGCCGCCGCCGGCGCTCCAACAATTTCCTCCTCCTCCTCCTCGGTGTCTTCTGCTCCTGACATTTCTTCCGTGGAGCCTCCGTCCTCATCATCCGAGTGGAGAATTTCAGTCGCCATTGATTGCGTCGGCGACTGCCCCGAGTGGGGCTGCACGTCCTCGACGTGTGCTGCCTGCGAAGGCACGGCTGCAGCCTCGCTGCTCGTCGCCAAAATGTCTAAGGCGGAAGGCGAATGTATCCGAGCGGCATCCCCGTCGCTCGCTTGTTGATGGTCTACCGCATCCTCTCTGCCTCTGTCGTCCGTCGCCGGAGGCGATTGAGCGGAGGGTGGCTGCGCGGGGTTGGATTGCGCATCGCGCATCGAGATTTCATCCCGCTGACAGTCACTCCGCTCCTCCGTCTGCTGCTCCCTTGATCGGTCCGTGGGGGCTGTGCCCGGCCCGTGCGCAGGCGCATGTGCCGGCGCCTTGTCCGCCGCAGGCGTAGCGCCGCGGACATCTATCGCCGAAGGCGACATGGCCGGGGGCCGCACGCCCGATGTTCCTTGGCCTATAGGCCCTACCGCCGAAGGCGCATCTATCGGCGGACTTTCCGCCGACGGTGCGGCCTCCGCACGCTCTCTGCTCGTATCTCCTCGGCTCGAAGGCCCTGGCGCCGAAGGCGCGAATTGCGGCGCGTGGTGCGCCGGTGGGTCTGGCCCCGAGGGCCGATGTCTCATAGGCGGTTCTTCCGCCGGCTCCTTCCCCTTCCTACGTTGGAACGGGGGTGATTCTTGCTTGTGCACAGGCGGCACGTGCGGAGGTGTTCTGTGCACAGGTGACCTGTGCACAGGCGGACTGCTCCTTCCCACGCGTAAGCGTAGATCCACGTCCACTTGTGTTCGCCGGTCCGCGGAGGCTCGTCCGTCCGCGGAGGTTCGCCTGTGCGCAAACGGAACATCTGTCCGCATCGCACGAGGTAACTCCGGAGGCCCTTGGCCCGTAGGCGGCCTCTCTCCCGACGAGGTTGCAGCGTGGCCCGCTGCTCCTGCGGTCGTCCGCGCTTCCTCTCGCCTCTCTGGCGACGCACTTCCTATCTCCGTCGCAATCGTCGCCGTGTCTGCACTGTCAGCTGGCAACACCAGTCTGCGTGCCTTCTGCTTCGGCCGGCTGTATGGCTCGCACAGCGGCCGCGGTCGAATGGGAGCAGAGAGTTCTTGATGCTGCTCCTCTTCGGCCTCTTCCCTCCATCGCCGCTTCCGCGGCACTCGCGCCGCAGGGGTGTGTCTCCCTTCATCCCTCCGTCTTGATGGGGTAGAAGTCGGTGACTCCTCCGCATCAGTGTCGACCTCGTTCTCCCGCACATACTTCCCGGGATGGTCGATGGACAATGGCGGAAAATGTTCAAGCTCCGCCGCTGTCAAACAATTCCGCTGTCGATAAAAATTGATGAGGAAAGGAGAAAGATGGTTTAGCGTTCCCCCCTTCTCCTCAAACGCGTGCTGTCGCATCACTCTGTGCAGGATGCTCGCCCAGTGAATTGGAGTTCCCTCGATGACGCACTCCACAAAAGAGACCTGCCACAATGTGATGTAGCAGGCGCGGTGCGGCTGCAGTAATTGCATCAGCGCCGCGGACAAAGTCCGGCGAAATCGATCTTTGTAATCACGGGTCCTGTACCCATTCTTGGTAGACCTCCCGGTCTTGAACAGCTCCACAAATTGCGCCTCTTCTTGCTTGGTCACCTTGATGCTCTCGCTGTCGAAAAGGAGATGCCCTGGCATGCCAGCACATCTTCCCAACGCCTGCGCCCAATCTTGGACTGTCCACCGATCAACATGCGGACGCAATCCGCGCGAGGGTGGTCCCTGTGGCTCTAGCCACTCGCGCACCATATTTGCGCAGATGTAATTCCATCCCCATAGCAAGAAATCGAGCTTTCTTGCTGTTAAGCGCTCTTCGAAAGCGCGCAGCCCGTTCTACGGCAGGCGAAGTGGCACCATCCGCAATCTGCTCGGTCTCGTCATTGCGTTCCTGGGGTTCGCTCGCCCGCTCATTCTACTTCCACACTGTCCGCGTTTCTTTCTCTCTCGGCAAACTCTAATCGCTCTCAATTCCAAATCACGCGCACTCACTTCTCCCTCAATCAACAAGAAATCTCCTGTGTGGCGACGACGAGAATGGTCCGCAGCCAGCAGATGGATGCGCGCGGCGCGCACAAGAGATTGGAATCGCGAATTCAAGAATGGGACGCTCTCCGCCGCCCGGTCGAAGGTCATGGTCGTCTCTTGGTCGTGAAGAACGTCTCACTTGATGGCCGCGCCGGCTGTACGCTGGAACGGTCTTCGCTCTCACGCGCGGCTTCACGCTCCGCCGTCGTCGATTAAACTCTCACGCTCGAATTGGCGGATTTGAACTCCGCGAGCGTGTCACCCTGCGGCCATGGGGGCGTAGCGCCGAAGGCGAGTTTTCCGCCTTGCGCGGTACACTTGTTCGTACCGCCCCTCGGCCAATCTCCTTCTGCCTTGACGCGTGTGTCCGCATGTCGGACAAAAATTCAACTCCTGCCTGTGCGCAGGCAGGGGCCTCGGCGGATTCTCCGCCGGTGCGGAACTTGAACATTCTCCTGTGCACAGGCGTTCGCCTGTGCGCAGGCGAATTCCGTCCGCGGCGCTGCGCTGGCGCGGAAGGCGTTGACCGTGGTCAGCCGTCTCCGTCCAGTCTGTCCGTTCCTTGTCTCTCCGTCGGCGCTTCCGCCGCCGCAACTCCGTCCGTCCAAGAGCGCATCCACCCGTGCCGTCCGCACGGTCCGTACCTATTGGATTACTCTGGCGGCTCTTCCTACGTACGCTGCGCTGCGCTGGCGCGGAAGGCGCCGTACACTTTCTACCTCACAAGGCGCATTTCTAGGGCCCAAGGCGGATTTCCCGCCGACGCCGAAGTGCCTGTGCGCAGGCGAACGCCTGTGCGTAGGCGGACTTCGCGCCTTCCCTAACCCTACTTCGCCTGCGCACAGGCGAACGCCTTCGTCCGCGCATAGGACAAAACTTGAATCCCCCTTCCGCGCAGGCGGAATTCGCGCCGGTGGCGAAATCCTTCCGCCGGGGGCGACCGCCTCCGTTTCTTCCAGTAGCGATAACTCCCTAAGTCCTCGTCCGTTCCAAGCGTTCTTGGGCTCGTTGGAATCAGCGCGTCGAGCTCTTTCCAACGGGATCCTAGCTTGGTCAAGGCGCCCGAGGGTTGACCTAATTACGGGGGTTTCCCTACAGCCGCGGACGCAACCTCCGAAGGCGGGTTTTGCGCCTTGCGCCGTAGAGATCCTAACTGCGGAGCTCGCAGGGAGGGTGGTGCCTGTCCTTACTGCGGCACCCCAAATCCCAGATTCTACAAGATCCCTCGAGAATCCCCGCGATCTTCCGGATTCACTCTGTTTTGATGTACCGAAGGCTATTTACAATGCTGCCAGGGTACAGTTTTCCAAAAATGTTTTAATTTCCTCAAAATTGCCAAAAGTGGGGTACCACACCAAAACCCCTTGACTGTCCTCGATCCTCTGGTTTCGCGTACCGATTACTATTTACAGCTACTGCCGCGGTACTTACTATTCAAAAATGTTTTAGTTCCGATAAAAAACAAAAAGTGGGTTACCACACTCCAACAGAGATTCGTCGCCGAAACTACTTTGTAGGTCACTTCAAAGACTCTAACGCGAAAGTCCGAAGACTGTACTAGATCTTTGTGGAAACATGGTTTTCACTTCATCTCTTTGTAGCTCGGGTTTCCCTTGTCCATTCCTCACGTTCTTGGGCTCGTTGGAATGAGCAAGTTGAGCTCTATCTAGTGAAATACTTCTTATCCCCTACTTATACTTAGCATCTATTCCGAAATTCCCTATTTACTCCTAATCTGACGAATACTGCTCTAAAAGTTAAAACTTTCTTGACTTTACTTTCCAAAATACATTATTTACGATAAAAAAAACTACACTACCACAGTCATACTTTGAGTAAATTACTTGATGATACTCTTATGAAACACAAATAGCTTAATGGTACTCAATAAGTATTGTTTTACTTGATGGGATCCCATAGACGACACATCGTCTGAACAAAGTTCTTGTAACTACATGATACTTTCTATAGTATGTGTGGGGTAGTGATTGTAGATCTCACCATCATCGAATGACTGCAACTCCAAAGTGAATGTTTCCAAAACCCAATGTTTATGGCAACGCCCCTGTCGGTTTGCCATGAAGTTGATTTATCAAAAAATTCTTGGAGATGGTTCCTCGGTCTATCAATGATCCTTAAAGTTCGTCTCTAGGGTCTTCAAGTTTTTTGATGAGTCACACATTTGATTTTTTATCGATATCATGCTTAAAGAACCGATGCTCGAGGCTTCAGACTAACCAACTCCACTTTGAGCTCAAAATCACATATTGGATTCATCCACAGCACTCTTAAACCCATAGGCGGCCTTCCCTCAATCTTGCTCCGCTAGTTCCTCCTTCTTTTCTCTGCAAGAGTCTTTGGGGATTGTCTCACTGCCCGCAGTCACTCGCTATCCGTTACGAGGAAGTCTTTCAATATTAGAGAATAGTTGGACGATGTGGTCCAATTGGGTATAACAATACTTGTGGGATCCCTGTTAGATAATTGTGTTCAGGAGTGATTCAATCAAGTAATATCCTTGTCATACTCTTGATGATTGTCACATCAAATACTATTAGTCTGAAGACGTTGTACCAGGTTGGCGAGGTCAAGTGAAGGATCTTGGGAGAGTGGTTGATATTGAATTTGAAGCCAAATGGTGCCCATGAGAGTGAAAGATGATTGAGAATGTAATGAATCAAATTGTTGTCAAGAGGTCTATTGTCAATGGCAGCAAGTTGGAGAGTCTGAAGAATCTGTTTGACTGTGATAGGAACACGCAGCTTAAGAATTGCAAGCTTCTCAGTTAGCAATAGACAATCGAGAGGCAATCAATTTACTCCTTGCCATTCACGAGGTGAGAACTTCCTTCACGTGCTTTCAATCTGGGCAATGAAGTGACATGCCTGTCGTCATCGGCATATACCTCTTCCTGAAGACCACAATCATTGCATCCTTAATGCAAGTTGCAAATTTAAAATAAATGTTACATTTTTCCAAAAATATGCTAGACTTCGAGTACCTACTGTTGGATCCTCAAGAATGTCAACATTAGGGAGCTGATATAGTGGGAACTGGATTTTGAGATCTTTGCAGCCCATAGCCTCCCAATTCGAAGACATAAACATCAACCTAGTTTCTTGGCCATGAATAGAGGTGTAGGGGCATTATATGTGGGATCTGGAAGATAAGCTTTTGTTTTAAGGAATAAACGTTGAATTTGAACACAAAATCATTGTTGGAACAACATCGGAGTAGTATTTTTGTTATTAGTTAAATTAGTATGTTGATAATTGTCTATAATATATTATCTTCGATCTTATTTTCTTGGGAAACAAGTTAACATGCAAGTAAATTTTGAGGCCCACCAGTGTCCGTTGTAGTCGGTGTCTTGCACCTGCAAGGTACCGGAGGATCCGGTAAATCAACATTTGTTAATATATTACAAGATGTAGTAGGACCGGAAAACTGCATAATAATTACATTTCCATCTTTAACTAGAGATCAATTTGAGATTCTTGCTGTAATATTATTTGCGGGGGCCTACGAACTTCTAAGAATTGGATATATGATTTGAAGCTGTGACTGGTTTCTAGAGGACTTCACATGAAACGTTTGGTATTTGGAACGCTGAAATGAAGTGCTCGAGAAGTAGAGAAGTTGAGTGGAATGGTATCTTGATGTAGTCACTCAAATTTAACATTCAATATCAATCCTTGATGTATGTTAGGAGTTTTTGAAGAATGTTTCAAGTGTATTCAAAAGTCAATTTTGGCCAAAAAACTATGTACAATTTACTAATATTTATTGTGAATGATAACTGAATACAAGAGTACAAATCTCACCAAAAGTCGCTCCCTAGTGGCATACATATAATAACATTCAGGTAAGCCGATTGGTCATGTTAACTGCAAACCTTTCATTTATTGATAATTTATTGTATATTATGAAAACATCATTGTGGTACCATCAAATGTCGCGACTAAATAGATTCCAAAAATTTTTCTATACCGTTGTCATCCATTTTAGCTAACCTGCAAGCACACAAGGTAACCTTACCTAGAGAACATGCACCACCTTATGTCAAAGGTACTTTTTGCCATGGATTTCCTGTCGGTCGGCAGAGCTGGAACAAACGGAGGGGGAATACTGCTTGTAACTTCCACTGCGCTCCCCAACACCGGTGATTCCAGTTGGGATCCATAACCCAGTTCGATCGGATACACCCAAGAGCGTGGCCAGGTTCGAGGGGCTCAGAGTGTGGCCACTGTTCGCACGCGGTGGTGCTATATTCCCTTTTCCTCCCACTTGAATATGATTCGAGCGTCTAGACTAGGCTCAGAAGATCGAGGGACGTCATGTGACAGGGATTGGGCGGGTCAATAGACCTGGTCGACAATCTGATTACTTGGATGTTACGCGTAAAGCGATTGATTGCTACGGACGGCCTTTTAACACCCGAGATCCTGTCGAGATTTTAAACGAACATCTGCCCAGTCCAGCGTGGCTACGTTGGTATCTCTAGTGTCAAGGTCGATCCTCTATGATCAAACGCTCTGAAGCAGCATCTCGAGCTCTGTGTGTGTGTGTGAGAGAGAGAGATTAAAACATAGATAGATGACGTCCATCGAGAAATCTCCGAAGGCGCAGTTGGTCCCATTCAAGACGCAGGGACATTGGACTCCCTTCGTGAACTTGATGCGGGCGCTGGCAGCGCACGGGATCAATCTCAAGGTGTGCCTAACAAAAATTCCTGCCGATGAGCTGAGGATTCTCATGGAAAAGGGACAACTCGAGAACGTCGATATTGAAATCGTGGAGGCTTTCAGGGATACAATTCATATTCCGAACACGCACGCACCATCGATCGTATGGTCGAGGATTTTGAAGAGTACAAGGGCAAACTCGCACTCTCGATGCCCACCGTCTCGTGCTTGATCGTGGACATGTTCGTCGGTACAGTCTGTGCGGTGGGTCAGAGTTTTTCTGCCCTCTCTTCGTTCTGGAGGCATTTGGCTACGTGCCGTGTCGTGAATTTGCTAGCCGGACCTTCTTTTGGAAATCGTCAGTCGTGAGCAAAACCCAGCACTCGATCAGATCAGATGGCATGAAATTTCAAGGGCGCCTTCTGATGTTCCGTGTGTTGCACAGGGTTTTGCAGATGAATGGAGGTTTCCGATGTAAATTTCGTCTCCTCAGCATGTGCCTTCACCTTTTGTATGCTGCACACGTAAACTCTGCTCGACGATGACTGGAGTTACAGCAATCCAGCCAAGAGCAATTCCCATGTAGATCTGCAGGGGCTCGAAATGTTCACCGGAGCTGATATACCGATATCCAATGCCGTGGTTAGGATCCTCTACAGAGAGCACTCGGCTGCTTTCAAAAGAAGCGCAGCCGTGATCATAAACTCCTTCGAGGAGTACGACGGGAAGCTGCTGAACATTCTGAGACAGCAGCTCGAGCTTCATGTGCAGCCCGGCAGGGTAATTCTGATCTTCATCTGAGCTGATCGCGTTTTCAAATGGCTTTCCTTCACCTTCCACCTTCCACGGCCTCTAACGAGGAGTGTTCGACATTTGAAGCCGAAAGTGTACCCGGTCGGCCCGCTGCGGCTGGTGGCCACCTCCCGCCTCGACGAGAAGCAGAACATTCCCACGGGGACGCACGAGTGCATCGAGTGGTTGAACCGGCAGGAAAATTCGTCCGTCTTCTTCATCTGCTTCGGGAGTGAGACCGAGACCTCGTCGTAAGGAGCTGGGTGCCGCAGGAGGAGGTGTTGCAGCATCCCGCTGTTTATGGCTTCTTGTCACACTGCGGCTGGAGTTCCATCATGGAAGCAATTGAAGGGGCCGTTCCTATCGTGACCTGTCCAATGAATGCAGAGCAAGCCCTGAACGCGAGGTAATCCGTTGCAGCGACACAGAAAGCCCGATTTGTTTGCTGCTGCTTGTGTTGAAGAATCAGCCGATCGTCGGGTCTCGATTATACAAGTCTTAAGTGCTTCAATGGCTGCTACTTCAATCGTGGAGGAGTCGAAGATAGACATTCCGATCGTGCACAAGGGCCGAGTGGGCGACGTCGATGGGCAGGAAGTGACGAAGGCGATCAGACTTTTCTTGGAGAGAAGAGAATCACTGAGACGGAACACTCTGCGCCTGAAAGAGGCAATGAACGCCACCGTGACAGAAGGTGAATCATCTCATCAGCATCTGAAGAATCTCCTCGCTGCCATCTCAAACCTCAAACGGTAAGCTATCACGGACCTCTGCGGAATTAATTTCAGTTCTCTCGGATCGAACATGACGAGACAAGACTGACCTATTGATAGCAACGGACTTGTCCATTTTATATCATTCTGTGAATTCGCAGAGGAAATCAAATACTTTCGGTCCTGAATGGTCGGAGTTCATGTTCTATCTATTGCTCCGTCGGATGTTGCCACTGGATCCAAGAGGCAGGAGTTAAGTCCTGACCGGGTCTCGTTTATTCGGTCACTGTGCAACTCTAACTTGTAGGTCTAGTCGATTCTGACGTCAAGCGTCTAATTAGTCTAGAAAGTGAACAAGTTTAAAACAAGATTCGGCCTTGAAAGTGATCATGAACAGTAAACAAAATCAATTAAATAAAGTTTGGACTAATCTCATGAAATGAGGAAATACGTGCAAATACGAAGAAAATTGTCCACTGTACTAAAGAAGTAGTCACCTACACACCAAGTCACAGATGGGAGCATTGCTTTCTATGTTTTAATACCTCTGTTGGATCCAATAGCTAGACAAACTTAAAGTATCGTAGGTAGGATGTCAGCAAGGTTTTAGTTCTATCCTTCACCCTTGACTTACTTGCAAATGTAAATAAATCAAGTCACAAGTGAATTCTTAAGATAACTTTCAGGCTTAAGAATCAAAAAAGAAATTGACAATTGCCTTCAATTCACACCAGATGATAACCAATTCGTACAGGATTGATTATTAAATCCCATCTTCCTAAACCACAACTCCAGGTTCACATTTTGTACTTGCACATTACAGATTTTTCATGTTCTCATGAATTTAGCGCTCAAACTCTTCTAGCTTTCCCTTCGTTAATTCACTTCATAGGTTTTCTCTGCGTAGAAGCTTACCAATCCTGGAAGTCAAACCTCTTTTGGCCCAGTCAACCTTCTCCTATACGTAGAGCTTGCTGGTAAAGTTGAGAGTAAGTGTTCAGCTGTCCTGAATGTTTAAAATCGATTCATCATGATGTGACTATCCCCTCCTTGATCCCAATGCATTTCAACATCTCCTACTCCTCTAGAAGAAACTTTCTTGACTGCAATACTAACCGCAGAACTCTCCTTGGAAGCACTTACCTGAAATCTGAATGGGCACTCCTCTTACCTCGCGTACTTCCAAACTTCTACAAAGTTCTCCCCTCCGCCTGGAAGATGGGCCGTCTAGTAGCCTGAAAGTTCCCAAATGCAGATTACAGTTCGGCACTCTTCAAAGATAAGAGGCCGTGAAATAATTCTGAAGAATAACAGAGTAATTAAAGAAGTGGGATCAATTAGTCCGATTCTTCACGAGGACTACTCAAGTTGGACACTCTGTTACGCGACAGAATAACGAAGTAAGGAAAGCGCACTCTACTGTCCACTATTTATCGAGTGTAATACATCTACATGCCATCGACTCCTTCGATTCTGCTCCCTGGTAAGGTCCCTTCGATTCAGCTCCTTCTTCTGTTTTAGATCACGTATTTGAAGTGAACCCAATATTGATGATCAAGATCCTACTCCCAACGAAGGAAACACACAGCTTTGAAGCTCTGGTACTATGAATTGGCTGGATTTGCAACCCCTCTTGAAGTGACTCCGTCTCGTTGAGACATATTATCTCGCTGCTGAAAACTAGATTTCAGGTCTGATTACATAAAGTATGCACTCCTGAACCGAAACTCGTTAAAGCTACTTGAAGGTAAGTAAACTTTTTATCAAGATCCAAGATGAATTCTTGCAGAATTCGGTGACTTGCAAAGTTCGATGCTTTCTCTTACCGGGCTGTTAGAGAAACTTGTGGTACCCCACTTTTGGTATTTTTGAGGAAATTAAAACATTTTTGGAAAACTGTACCGCGGCAGCAGTGTAAGTAGCCTTCGGTGCACCAAAACAGAGTGAAATCAGCAGATCGCAGAGATTCTCGAGAGAACTCGTAGAATCCAGGAGTGGGGTGCAACGTCGGGGACGGACACCACCCTCCCTGCGGACTCTGAAGGTTGACCCCTTCGGCGCAAGGCGCAAAATCCGCCTTCGGCGCTGCGCCTTCGGCGCTAGAGGAATCCTTCAGAACTTGGTCAATTGCCAAACGCCTTGACTTGGTTAGGGTCTCGTTGGAAAGAGCTCGACGCGCTGATTCCAACGAGCCCAAGAACGCCACAAACGGATGAGGACTCCGGGAGTTATGAAGGTCGCAAGATACTCAGCTTTCCGCCTACGAGTAGGCGAGGAAAGTTTGTCCTATGCACGGACGAAGGCAGTTCGCCTACGCGTAGGCGAGATAGGGTTTGACGTAGGCGCAATGTCCGCCGCGAATGTCGCCTACGCGTAGGCGAGGAAATCTCTGCACAGGCGGACGAGCGAAGTTCGCCCACGCACAAGCGCTTCGGCGTCGGCGGGAAATGCGCCTTCGGCCCTAGAAATGCGCCTTCGGGGTTAAAAATTGTACGGCGTCTTCCGCGCCAGCGCAGCAGCACGGACGGGCGAGGAACCACCGGAGTAGTAAAATCCGTACGGACCGTACGGACTGTACGGACGGAACGGATGGATGCGCCTTCGGCCGGATGGAGTTGCGGCGGCGAGAGTGCCGACAGAGAGGCAAGAAATGGGCAGACTGGACGGAGCCTGTTGACCGCGGTCAACGCCTCCCGCGCTAGCGCAGCAGCGTGGACGGAATTCGCCTACGCGCAGGCGAGCGCGTACGCACAGGCGGGTGAAGTTCCGCGCCGGCGGAGATTTAGCCGGGGATTCCGCCTACGCCGAAGGGAGTTCAACTTTTGTCCGATGCGCGGACGATCACCTTCGACAGGAGGGGGATTGGCCGAGGAGCGGTACGAACGAGTGTAGCGAGCAAGGCGAGAAATCCGCCTTTGGCGCTGCGCACCCATGTCCGCGGCGTAGTACGCTCGCGGAGTTCAAATTTGCCAATTCGAGCGTGTGAGTTAAATCAGCGTCGGCGGAGCGTGAAGCCGCGCGTGAGAGTGGAGACCGTTTTAGCGTAGAGCCGGCGCGGCCATCAAGTGATTCGACCCTCACGCCCAAGAGCCGACCATGACCTTCGACCGGGAGACGGAAGGCGCCCCATTCTTGAATTCGCGATTTCATTTTCTAGTGCGAGCTGCGCGCGTCCACCTGCTAGCTGCTAGACATTCCAGACATCGCCGCGCGGAGGATTACGTGTTGATTGAGAGAGAATTGAGTGCGCGCGATTTGGAATTGAGTGAGATTAGAGTTTGCAGAGGGAGCAAGGAGCTCGAGCGGAGCAGGAAGAGAACTAGCGAGCAAGCTAATTTCAAGAACGCAATGTCGAAGCTGAACAGATTGCGGATGCTGCCGCTCCGGCTTCCACATAACGGGTTGCGTGCCTACGAGGAACGGCTGATCGCAAGAAAGCTCGATTTCTTGCTGTGGGGATGGAATTACATTTGTGTGGACATGGTGCGCGAATGGCTGGAACCACAGCGACCACCTACGCGCGGATTGCGTCCGCATGTCGATCGGTGGACCGTCCAAGATTGGGTGCAGGCATTGGGGAGGTGTGCCGGCATCGAAGGGCACCTTCTCTTTGATAGTGAGAGCGTCAAGGTGTCGAAGCAAGACGATGCGCAATTTGTGGAATTGTTCAAGCGGGAGAGGTCTACCAAGAATGGGTACAAGACCCGCGACTACAAAGATCGCTTCCGCTGAACTTTAGCGGCGGCGCTGCTGCAATTGCTGCAGCCACACCGCGCCTGCTACATCACCTTGTGGCAGGTTTCTTTTGTGGAGCTCATCATCGAGGGAGCTCCAATTCACTGGGCGAGCATCCTACACAGAGTGATGCGACAGCATGCATTCGAGGAGAATGGGGGAACTCTTAATCACATCTCCCCTTTCTTGATCAATTTCTATCGGCAGAGAAATTGTTTGACCGCGGCGGAGCTCGCTCGCTTTCCGCCATTGTCCGTCGACCATCCCGGGAAGTATGTGCGGGATAACGAGGTCGACACAGACGCAGAGGATTCACCAGCTTCTACCCCGCCGACGCGGAGGGACGAGGGAAGAAACACACCCGCAGCAAGAGTGCCGCGGAAGCGTCGATGGAGAGAGGAGTCTGAGGAGGAGCAGCATCAAGAACCCACTGCTCCCATTCGACAGCGGCCATTGCACGAAGTGTGCAGCCGGCCGAAGCAGAGGGCGCGCACGCTTGTGTTACCAGCCAGCAGCACGGACACGGCGACGATCGCCATGGAGAAGGGAAGTGCGTCGCCGGAGAGGAGCGAGAGAGCGCGGACGTCTGCAGGAGCGATGGACCACGCTACACCTCCGACGGACGAGAGGCGGCCTTCGGGCCAAGGGCCTCCGGAGTTACCACGTGCGATGCGGATGAGTGTTCCGCCTACGCACAGGCGAGCTTCAGCGGAAAGGCGACCTCACGCGGACGTGGACCTCCGCCTACGCGTAGGCAAAGAAAGTCTGCCTACGCACAGGCGTTCGCTTACGCACAGGCGGCCGCCTACGCACAGGCAGTATTCACCCCCGATACAATGTAGGAAGGGGAAGGAGCCGGCAAAAGATCCGCCTTCGGGTCAAGGGCCTTTGGGACCAGACCCTCCGGCGTACAACGCGCCGCGATTTGCGCCTTCGGCGCCTGGATCTTCGGGTCAGCGAGTTTTGAGTAGGGAGCGTGCGGAGACCGCACCTTCGGCGGGTAATCCGTCGGCAGATGCGCCTTCGGCAGTAGGGCCTTCGGGGCCAGGGACATCGGGCGAGCGGCCTCCGGCTCTGTCGCCTTCGGAGGTAGACGCCTTCGGCGCTGCGCCTGCGGCGGACAAGGCGCCGGTATTTGCGCCTACAGGCCAGACACACAGGCCAGACACAGGCCAGACACAGCCCTCGCGCAAGACCGATCGAGGAAGCAGGACCTAACGGAGGAGCGGATTGTATGTCCGCGGGACGAAATTCGCCCTGCGCAGGCACATTCTGCTCGATCGCCTTCGGCGGCGGACGTCGGCGGCGAAGAAGACACAGTCGACGATTGACAGGCGGGGGATGGGGAGGTAGCACGACCACATTCACCCACCGCCTTGGACATTTTAGCGGGAGCAGCGAAGCTGCGGGAGTGCCTTCGGCGGCAGCACCCGTAGACAACTCGCAGCCCCACTCGGGTCAGTCGCCAACGCAATCAATGGCGACCGAAATCCTTCCCTCGGATGATGACGAAGGAGGCTCCACAGAAGCAATGTCGGGATCGGGAGATACCGAGGAGGAGGAGGAGGAAATTGTTGGAGCGCCGGCGGCGGCGCTCTCTGAGCAGGTACTACCTCTGCTGAAGTACTTGGATCGCAAATTTGATAAATACGCCGATCCA